GGCGCGACACTGAGGGTTGCGATCCATTGCCGGACACGAAAAAAGACAAAAAAAAAAAAGGTATGCCGAAAAACGAGTTAGGTGAATGGTGTTGGAGTCCACAAATTCACCTGAGCAGATAGTCTTTGACTTTGCTTAGGTTGACTTTTGTACAATCTGCATTTCTGTTTGTTTTACTAGGACATCCTTTAGCCTTTTTTTAAAATTAGGTAACCAGTTAACATTTTGGCTGTCTCATGAGGAACTGCTTGTCAGCCAACAGTTTGGTTTCAGCAATGTTTATATTATTCCTTGGTATTTTATTGTGAGTTTCCTTATTTTAGAAAGATAGTAGGACAAATGGAGAACAGAAAAGCACTGATATTAATGATAATGTAGGTCTTGTAAATGTTTAAAACAGTCGATTCAAAGGTAGAAATCACTGGGTGTACCAAAGGTAGAGATTTTCAGTCTGTTCTTTCTTATCTGAAGAAAGGGAACAAAATGAGTGAATATGTGATAAATGTAAAAATATATCAATTGATAAAGATCTATTAATCAGCTTTGGCAACATAATAACACTCCTCGACTTATAGCAACAGCTATTTATTTTCACATTCATGAGTCTTCAGGTTGACCAATTTGGCTAATCTCGGCTGTGCTCCTTGGGGAGGCTCTGCTGTAGGCTTTAGGCTGGGTCCCAGTGTGTTCCACATGTGCTCTGGGGCCAGGCTGAAGGAATATCATCTGCTTGGGGCATGCTCTTCTCAAGGCAGATCACCAGAGTCAAGAGTCAAGGTTAAGCACACACACAAGTGTCATTTCCGCTTACCACCTTTTTTTGGACAAGGCAAGTCACATGGGAAAGCCCAATATCTATGGGATCATAGTAGAGGAGAGAATATTTGATGAACTATAATCCGAAAGTATGGCGTGATTAAAGAATTTTATAATGTTTTTCTTCTTATTCTTGGGGAATGCAATCTTCATCCCCTCACTCTCACCCTAGCTTTATGACATATAATCCTAGCGTTAACTTTTGCATTTCAGGAATATACCATATTTGATTCTAGAAGACTAACTGTAGAAGCAGGTATATGTATACACGAATTACTTAAATTATTAAGGCCCTGTTTATTAGAACCTTCTGTATTCCAAGAGACAATGCTTAATGCAGTGGTGAACAAAGAGTTTTTATCTGATGTGGGCCTTGCCCCCATGGAACTTATCATTAGGAATAGGTGTCAGGAAAGATTTCTTGGATGAAATGGCATTTTCCTGGACCTTGAAGCAGGAAGAGGGTTGGAGATGCAGATAGAGCAGTGGATACAGTAGAAATGTGAGGACCACATATGGATATAATGAATTATTCCATTTGGACAGAGGGTAAGAAAGGTGAATAATAACAACAACAATAATTATAATAACAGTAGTATATAGCTTAACTTTATTGAACTGTTAACTGTGTGCTAAGCACTGTGCTTAGCACTTTACATAGGCTATCTAATTTAATATTGGGGTAGACATTGCTGATTGTCTGCCCAATATTCATTCTCTCCTTTGTACGTAAAGGAACCCCAGTTTAATTTGAGATGGGAATATGTCCACCTCACCTTCCCAGACTCCCTTCCAGCTTAGAGTGGCCATGAAATTCAGGTCTGATAATAATGTAAGTGGAAGTTGGTGTGTGGGGGCTTTCCTGAAAACTTAATGAAGAGGAACACTTGGCTGGTCCCTTTCTGCTTCTTGCTGTTGGAAATATAGGTGCGGTGCCTGGAGGAGCAGTGGCCAACTACAACAGTGAAGATTAAACCATGTATTAAAAATGGTGAAGCTGGAGCCTGGAAGGATTTTGGTTTTAATGCCGTTGTTCATTCATAGTATCAGCCTAGACTTCCTTCCCCTGTACTTCTTATTGTATAAAACAAACAAAAAAACCTTCTTAATTATAAGCCACTATTTGTTTCTTGCAGCCAAATGCAATCCTCACTGATACATACCTTCTCAAGAGCCCCTCAAAGTAGATGATATTATACCTATTTGCAGGTATGAACATTAAAACTCAGAGATGTTAAGGAACTTGCCCAAGATCAAACAACTAGTAGGTAGAAGAGTTGAGATTCAAAACAATGTCATTTAAACTTTCAGGCTTATTGTCCTGCCTTTGGCTGGGCAGATAAGTACCACAGTGGTGATAATGTTGGAAAGTAGATTGGAGTAAGATTGAGGAAACAACTGGGTTCCAGGTTGAAATGTTTGAGTTTGATTTCATGGGCTAATGAGAATAAGATGATTTGAAAATGACAGTGACTGGAGGCTGGGAGACTGTGGAGGCTTAAGTACAGGACAAGCAATACTTTAGTGTGAATGAAGGCAGAGGTAAAGCTGGGCAGAAAGCAGAGCTGGGAACATGAGGAGAGAATGGAATTGGTTGAACACAAATCATAGTTGGCTGTTAACCTGTAATCTTCTGAGAACAAAATGAAAATCCCCTGAAGGTTA